CACTGATGTCGGCTGTCGTTGTGTCCTTGGGCAAGACACTTAGCCCCACTTTACCTATAAGGAGCGCTGAAGTGATGTTCGCTGCTTGCCTGTAGTGTATGCATCAAACTGAAATTTCCCCATTGTGGGATAAATAAAGGACTTCTTCTTACAAGTATGGATAGCATATCTTCTAACAATAATCTATCTCCTGCATGTTGAGGTCTGCAGTTACTATTCCGAGACTATTTCTGTGGGGACAAACAGCATGTGCTATTTATGTGCAAGAGAAAGTTTAGGCAAGTATTATACAGTTAAAACCCAAAACAATTCAAATCGAAAGCAGTAATGAAAAGCTCCGGTGGAGTCTATTTTTGTCCATTTCGTCTCCAACACACAAACAACAAGAGCTGTAGTATCCACAATTCTCTGCTGAGTTATTTCTGCTTTCAGCACAAAGCGTCTTACCTCTGACAGAAAGATGACGGATTTGTGTTTGTGTGTGCGTGCCTGTATGTGTGTCCATGTGAGGGTGTGAGTGTGAGTGTGAGTGTGTGTGTGTGTGTGTGTGTGTATGCGTGTGTGTGTCTATGGGAGTTGCTGGGAGGATAATTAGCCCTTGTGCTCTGCTCCTTGCGAGTACTTTAACCACAGGGCTCAACCATAATGAAGCTACACTGTCACGGACGCTGCTCTCCCACCAAAACACACACACGTACCGTCACAGAGGTTTCAAAACAAACTCGCTGCAGAGACAAGAGTGGATTAGCAGAAAGAAAAAAAAAAGACTACGGACGGCAGGTTTATGTGGCGACTGACTCAGGGATAATGCTAGGGTGATTCAGGACCCCTCCCCAGGACAACTGTAGACATAATAACTGGCTTATTTGAATAACAGCGGCATAAATCAAAACATATCACATGATACACAGCGGAATACAGCGGCAGCATGGAGTACTGCTCGTTTAACATGATTAACATCAAAGTGGGACAAGCTTAATACTGTAACGGTTGTGGTGTTTGCATGAGAGCCAAGGTCAATAATACAGGGCCCCAAACCAAACAACAGGGACATTAGAGCCTTATTGTTCTTTCATGTACATTTGTATTGTGTTTAATCACTTCTAAATGATATAAACGTCAATTTGAGGTTGACTAAAATTGACAACACAAAAAAAATCACAGTTGGGCCCACATTCAGCCTCTAAAATGGATGGGGTGACAGTAGATTTCCATTATATAAACTAGTAATACCATAGTCTCTCCTTCATCCTCCTTTATGAACTTCAAACATTTAAAAATGATCAATTTAAATGCATATTCATTGTATATCTGCACAAAAATGATTGACTCTTTTTGACCTAATGCCACAATGTTTGGGAATAATTTGCTTTGGCAGCTGCACAGTCCTGACCACAGCTGAGGGGGTAGATTAGGTGATTTCATGCTGACAAAAAACACCTTGAATACAGGACAAAACAGTTTATTTTAAAGTAAAGTCAAACAACAACAAATTGAAATTGTGATGACAATAGGCATAGTAGTTCTTAGGCAATCAGTCTGTCCTGGGCAGTTCTGGCTACAATAAAAGCTTACTAATACTAATGTGTAAACAATACTTTATTTATTATGTGATTTTAAAAAGTACAGGGGTAAACTCCCTTTCCTTTGCGCAAACCTCCACTTCAAAGTGATTTTTTTCTCTTTTTAAATATAACTGTATCACTGTATCTCAACAACCCCCGTCCTCCCAAAACATTAAAATCAACATACCACACCATACAAATCTCTCATGAGTTTTTGGGCACTGACAATATAACTATAACTGCTAAAGCTTGTATAGATTTACATAATGATTTCACATGATAATGACATCACTAAAGACTCCTCTACTTGTCAGTGCATCGAGTAGCCATGAAAGTTTAAAGTCTAATATGCCTGGTGTGATTTATCAGTACAGCCCTGCACACTGCAGGGAGAAGGGAGAAGGGAGATTGTACTCGACTGGGGATAAATGCAGTGATTTATTTGTGATAACTGCCAAAAGTGAAAGCATGAGTTAGACCGAGACAGCACCTCTTATCATAGCTCCAGCGATGACTGCTGCAACCACAAGTGCACCAGGAACATACCTAAAGGGGCTTTGATAATGAGGAAGGTTTGGCTAACAGTCTTCTGGCTTGGTTAAACAAAGTAGCAGCGTGATGACCACAGATGAATGTCGAGCTATCCGCAACAGAAATACATGAGGTCTACACTGAGACAAGGCTTTGATTTAACCCTGAGTAGCAGAGTTTCTACATAAGCTTCTAAACTATCTACAGCGAGGTTTCCACATACGATCCCTACATTTTACAAACATATTTTTAACTCATTGTCTGCCATTGACGAGTAAAGACGTCAAACCAAATAGTATGGTTGTCTGCCAATGACGAGTTAGGACTATTTTCATGTTCCCAGATGTCTATTATATCTAATATGTATGGGGATTAGCTTTAGAGAATATTTTATCGAGCCAGCAGGGGGCACCAGCGCTGCCTCTGTATGTTTTGAAAACAGGATGCACTTGTTGCATCTTCTTTTCCTCAGCTTTTTGTCAGAGACGAGTGATTTCAGTAAAACTTCCCTCTACTCGACTGGGGATTACAGGGGAACAAAACAAGCTTGAAACAAAATTATTTTTTCTGGTGAAAGTAGACATTCCATTCTTTCAGAATATGGTTTTGGATTTCAGATAGTCATAGTACACAATATAAATAAAAATCAATAAAAATCATCAGAAATTGCTGGCAATCTGGGAGTACCTGTTCTGAAATGGGCTGGCAGGCAATGATGAATTGTTCAATTATTGACTTTAGTAATCATCGATTTCTTATAAAGTGTCAGAGATCCACTTTTTGTCTGTTTTATGTCAGATTTCTGGTGTGAAACATTTGCTCATTCATTACATTCTTACCTATTGTGCATGCTTTTAGTGCTAGGGGAAACCAGAGCACCCAGAGGAAACCTAAGCGGACACAGGGAGAACTCCACTCAGAAAGACAAAGGTGGAATTGAACCCAGGACCTTCTCGCTGCGAAGCACAAATACTAATCGTTGTGCCACTGCGTCGTCTAAAGGGTTACATTTTTCTTTCCTCATTTAAAAGTGACTTGAGAGACAAGACATATTTGTTCTGTCTGCAAATCTAAGGAATTGAAGCCCTTGCAATGATTTTTTGTAGTGTAGAAAGTGGCTGGTATTAAATTTGACATAAATTATATAAAATGTATGTAAAACAACTTCCACTTATAGAATTACATTTTAAGAAAGTTGATTTTAATCCTATGAAATGAACATGCGTTTAATACTTTTGGGACATTGGGAATAGCTTGGAGCACAGCGGGAGTCCAACATTCCAACAGAGACTTCTATATTTTTTTCTAAGCCTTTAACACTGTGGGGAAATTAACCAGCGCTCTCCAGAGTAACTATCACATCACGCAAAATGTCTTTCACACATTTTGACTTTCATTTTTAATCCACTCTCTGATGTCATTAAAGCGCCCTCGCCGCCTCAGCGCTGCACACAGTGAAGGCTGCTCTTTGATAGAGGTCTGCGGTGATGCAATGTGGAGAAAGAGGCAAGAAGCACAAGCCAACAGGAAAATGAGTGTGACTACTGGGCAGACCCTCTCATCAGCGGAAAGTCTATCATTTAATTTGTTATTTCTGCAAATAAAGAGATTATTATCAGGCAGTTTTTATCAAAGGGGACTATACATTTCACTGACTGCGAGAGAGATTGTCCTTTATGATCAATATTTATCTGACCAAAGAAGAATAAGCTGCATGATTTGCATTAATGTGGTTGTCTGCTTGTTTAAGAAGAGTGGTAACACAAGGAGAAATGAATTGTGAAACGATAAACTAATAAATAGTGTTCTAATCATGCATCCCTTTCCAAAGCAGAAGGAAATGGACACATGATTAGAACACTATTTATTTATTTATTGTTTCACAATTAATTTCCCCTTGTTCATTTCCTTCTGCTTTAGCCGGAGCCAGCAGCAGACCTCCCTCCACATACATTCTGCGGCTCATCCTGGGTCTTTCCCTGTCCCCATGGGACTTGCACACACCTCCCCCTGGCACAACCCCAGGATTCAAGTGAAACAGATTCACATGCACATCAACGAGGCTCAGTGGCTCTACTTCAAGCTCTCCCCGTCTGACCAAGGTCCTACCCTGTTGGTCCTAAAAGCTCATGTCCAGAGGTGATTATGGGAACGTAGATTGATTTAGCCGGAGCCATGGCTAGATCAAGAGCTGGTTTTGGCTTTTGACTCCGTTTTTTCTTTACTGTTCTGATCATTATCAATGCAGTTGATTGACAATGTTTGTGAATAATAAATGTGCAGTATGTATTTGTTCTTAATATAGCGGGTAATAAATCATCTCTTATCTGTACAGTGTTGGGATTTGACCACGAGAGACAGACTTTAACCAAGTGAAACATTCACCACGTACAGTATAAACATTCTGTCTGCCACACAGTTATGCATTTGTTTAGTTCACACTAAATGTGTTTTGTCGAATCAGTTGTACTTGATTCTTCAGCTTGAATGATGCACAATGAATCATCAATCCGTGATCTTGTTTTGTACCTTTCATGCAGCTACAGTCACTCTTTCAGTTCATTCCCTTGAGCACAATGGAAAACACCATCTAAATCTAAAGGTCTAAATAAAGCTGTTGTTCTACTTGCTATTTATGTACAAGGGTTTCTCAGAAAGGTCAAAGTATAAATTATATTTTTCCTACATCTTTGCGACATATAAAGCATGTGCATCTAATGGGGGTGAAAAGAACTGGGCGGTTCTGTCTCAAGCTTTCTTCATCCTGTACCTGAGTGTTGCACCATTAAAGCTCCATTAAAACTATAGGAGTTCTATTGTAAAAACCTATCCATTTCTGTAGCTCAACATATCATTACAACAGTTTAATCTCCTTAGTATAGGTTGGCAGGAGGCAGGACTCACCCTCTGTGCGAACTTTTGGTTGAACTCGTCTCCGTGTTTCCTGATCGCTTGTCCAATCTGCACCGCCTGCATGTCCCTCGCGGAGTCCGCTGGTCGTGAGCTACTGCCACTTATTCCTGATAAAAAGGAGATCACAGAGTTAAAATATGAGCAGTTCGGGATGACTCCAATGTGACGTTTTAAATCACAGCAAAAACAATCCATGTAATTCATTGCGCACCTTTCAAAGCACTATTTTCCTTACAACCTTTCCATGATTTCAGTTGGATTTAAATCAATCTTGGCATAATTACAAGTATGAGTGGATGATTGTCTTTGTCATCCCCGTAGGGAAATTTGTCCTCTGCATTTGACCCATGAGTATTGATGAGTTGGGGGACATCTCCTGCTTTTGCAAAATGTGTTATTAATGGTGTTCAAAGCCTTTCTTGGGACGGACATTGCAAATTAGCCTTGGCTGTAAATATTGTACACCATCAAATCAATAAATGAATAAACCCATCCATCATTACCACAACAGCAACTTGACAGGAGCAGTGGCCCAGGACCCATTTCAGTTGTTTTTGAGAGCTCACAGTACAATTTGAATCACCATAATGTCCCCGGCCCTATTTCCAAGTACATCATGTCATTAGTCACTGGTGGAGCAACCTTCTCCTTGGTTCCAGTCTTTTCACTGATGCACATTTACTTAACACAAAAATAGATAACTATTTGTTTGGACGCTTGGAAGAAGCCCAAACACTTGGTAATTACTGTGTCACCAGAAGGAGGATTTGAATGCAGTAAAAGTACTAGAATCAGGAAGTACGATTGTATTAGTCCAGTTCTCAGGCCTCCGCGTAGGGAGTGGACTCCTGCTGGGACTCTGAGGAGCACAGGGACTGGACTCCTGCTGGGATTCTGAGGAGCACAGGGACTGGACTCCTGCTGGGACTCTGAGGAGCACAGGGATTGCCCTCCTGTTGAAACCCTCAGGAGGGACTGGCTTTCTGGAAAGTATTTGTATTTATAAAACTATTATTCATGACAGGAATAGTCTTTGTGACAATGCGAGACATGCTTCTACTTTGACAATGTTCAAATCCTTGTTTAAAACTGTTCTGCTAATCTTTGGTCGAGCATTTATGGTTATACTTGATTGTATTGTGATTTTAATATCTCATCTCTTGTTTTGTAAAACTACACAAACCTGCTTTGTCATTGCCATTATCTACGGAATGTTTGGCAAACAACAAGATGAAGTGGAAAAGTTTGAACCAACATCACTTTACTACAAAATATTCACTGTAGAGGCAAAGTGCTGAGATGACCGTGTTATTCAGGCATGCTTTGGGAAAGGCTGAGCGAAATGGAAGCTTCAGAGATTCTGTCTGTGCTCGACAAAGACGCGACTGCTCTGATCTCTTCTGAAATCTGCAGCTGAGTGTATAACGTAATGTCTATCCCTGTATTTATTCTTTTTGTGCTATTTGTGCTTATTCTGTATTTATAAGCAAACATCTGTCTTCAATTGAAACAGATATAACTTGTAACTTAAATAAATCAATGACAATTGCTCCAAGCACTTGTCCTGTTGACGTCTTGAAGAGGCGCTGTTTAGTCGAGTAAGATGTTCCAAATAGCCAGTAGCAAAAAAGTCTGGAAAAGAATGATCTATTTCATAATAAATGTTGTGAACAAGTCAAACTCAGATGTATTGCTGCTGGAGGTGATGCAGCTATATGAGCATCAGCTAAAAATACATATAAGAAACTGGGGCACTGAGTCCATTATGAAATCAGTGACTGCACAAGAATGGCATCAGGGGATTTTGTTGATATCTTCCAAATTATTTGACAGCAACATTATGGAAATCCCCGGGATAATATGGTTGTTATTGAATCTTCCTCAAGTGTGCAGAGCTTACCAAAAAGCTTTGACATGTTTGTGTCCCTCGGTTGCGAATCAGGACAGAGAAGTAGGAAGTGGCTTTGACTTCTGACAGAAGTATTTACTGAACAGACACACGTGAAGATGGAAGCTGAGATTTTGAGGAAGAAACACCAAGTGCATGAATCTCTGAGTCATCAACACTCCACCTTTCGGTCTATTGGGTGCAAACAGACGCGTCGCTCACCAGGCTGTCGCGGACGCGCGCGGTCACTGGGCTCGAGCGCTTGGAGACGGCTCAGCGCGTGCTCGATGGTCTGTGCGCTCGGACTGACAGTCTGCGAGAGCGCGTCAGCCGTGAGTGTCCGCTGCTGAGGAGAGGAGGGCACAGAGTCGCTTTCATTGGAGAAATATCCACTGGAGGAGCGACGAGTGGGGTGAGAGGGCTTCATAATCCCACTGCGCCCGCTTGCTGCCGCGGGGCCTCTGCTCCCACACGCGTCCTGAGCGCACGGTGTGGACGGCTCTCTCACCTCTGGGGTCCGCGAAGGTCTGTGGGAACAGAGGCGCAGCGTCAACGGGAACTTGTGTTATAAACAGGACTGTGCCCATGCAGCAGGAGACAGGACGCAGAGGTTGACAATGCTCCTCAATCATGTAAATGTGAAATAGAGCTATTACTGTGCGAGGCTCTTTAGCCGGGTTAGAGACAGACTAGTCCATCTGCACCTCTTTTTGCACTCCACTTGCAATCCATTAAGTATACAGATTCCTCATAATGAATAGGCTACAGCATATAAATCCCAAGCTTGCAACAAAAGCAGAAGGAAAAACATAAAAAAAAACAAAATAAACTTCAGCGTGAACTGAAGTGCTGGTGCAGCTCATCCTGCTCAGCAGCACGCCATCAGTCTGTGCCTATCTAGGCTCGGAACAGAGGAGAGTCACAGCCCAAATCGCCCCCTAGAGTTTCTAGCGCGTCTGGCAAATAAACTTTTGTCATTACCTCGAAGCTCGAACGCGGGGCTGCCACCAGTCAAACCAACAGCAAGCTTTGATATTTATAAACCATACCTCAATGCGAAGGATGGTTGTAAATTGGGGAAAAGGTTTTTGGGTGTTGTTTTGGGGGGAAACTTTGAATCTTATGACGCACGGCGATGTGGACAGTGAACCACACCGGCACTAACCTTCTAGATACCAAACACTGCTTCTTAATAAAATGTGATATTGTTGTTTGTTTAGAGGGAAAACTGCCACTTACCTATGGGCACCGGACATGTCCCCGGCTTCGGGGGGGAAAAAAGGGAAGAATCGAAAAATAATCACAGTTTAAAACCCCGCTCAGTCAGTAAACAATCCTAGCGATGCGCAGTGAGACAAACTGATCCAAGTTTGATCCAGGACAGATCCACGCGCGCACGTGAGCAGTGGACGCGGCTGTAAACATGCGCTCCTTCCTCACGCTCTGTATGTGCGCATTTCCTTTCTCTGTCCGCGGAGTCTAAAAGTTATCTGCACGAATAAATGCTCCAACGCGCTTTTTAATCCAGAGGCGGTACGGTCCATCCTACATCTCCAACGCACCTCTCTCACCCGCAATGTCCCTCCCACAGAACTGCAGCGAACAAGTGACACAAGACTGTACTAACGCCTGTAGTGAGGGAGTACACACAGCCAGTGCTATATAGCTGCAGCGGTATCTAACTTTTTTATATATTTATACATGAAGAGTTAATTTGCAAAATCAGATATCTCCGTTTGGAAAATGTGTCAAAAAGTCGTATCATTCCTCTATTCCTACAATATGTTTTGTTATTGGAAATGGATTTGAAAGAATGTGTTTGCTTTCTTCTTTGTGAAGAGCAAAATGTAATCTTCAAGTATGTTTCAAATATGAACAAATTAGACAAAATCAATCACATGTTTATTTTTAAAGCGTCTGTAGCAAAAGCCCCACATGTGAGTCACTGTTTGAAACATTGGGCTGATTAGCTGAGTTATCTCTTTATCACTTCTCTTTGGACAGACTGATCTAAAGATCAAACTTACACACATTTGGAAATCTTCTGTTGAAAGTGAGGCTTTAAAAACTTATTGTAAAATTGTAAAAATACATGATTGGAGGAGGAGGGAAAGTGAAACTACTCCTACAAAAGCTTTCCATATTTTAAATTATAAACCACAAAAACAAGAACCGGTGCTTGTCCTGTAATGAAACACTAAAAGCACGACTAGAAAAATCAATGTCACGCCTGTAGTTTATAGTGCCGCGCACTGATATGAACACACAGGCGCGGATAGAGGGCGGAGCTATACTGGACTCATTGCAGTGAGTTCTGGGTCAGTGTCACTCCATACAGTCTATGGTCACTCCCGTATTCGTCCCGGAAACCGGATTCGTCCGGAAGTTCAGTTTTTGCTTGTCAAAAAGTTTAATATGTCCTTAAGTGGTGACTGGTTAAGTTTAGGCGTCTGATTAAGATGGTTAAGTTTAGGGTTAAGGCTGGTTTGGGGTTATTTTACGGGAATGGCTGGTTAAGTTTAGGCATGAATAGGTAGTTTTTTATATTTACTTCCGCTTCCGTCCAGATTCCGTGACGTAATCTACTGCTGCGTATGCTCATTGGATCAAACTGAACTTCCGGACGAATCCGGTTTCCGGGACTAATACGGGAGTGACAGTCAGCACTAGATCATATACGGAATCGGGACGGAAGCGGAAGTAAATACAACAAACTACCTATTTATGTCTAAACTTAACCAGCCATTCTCGTAAAATAACCCCAACCCAGCCTTAACCCTAACCTCAACCATCTTACTCAGACGCCTAAAACTTAACCAGTCAGCACTTAAGGACTTATTAGTCTAAAACTAATTCGAAAGTAGGATTGTTACGTCCAGTTTCGTCCCGATTCCGTATATGATCTAGTGCCGACCGCGAGTTCTGTGCAACACACATGGATGTATAATTGCTTGCTTGCAATTGACGTCACGTCCGCCTCATTACTTATGCGTATCACGAAGTGGTGGTCAGCCAAGCTAGTTGTTCACTAGAGCAGCGTGTCTGAATATGCCTTTTGCTTGTGTTGTTTTAAGTTTTCTTACCGATCGAATCGCAAAACCTTTAATGGATAATTTAGGATTCCTCGTGAAGAGATTAATAAAGAGCCTCGCACTAAGGACTTTACGAAAAGACGCAGGAAAAGTGACTCGATAACATTTCACTAGCAAACGCTTTTACCTTGAAGGATTGTTTATTTACCCAGCCATGCTTTCACAATGCTCAGTTATTACATCCCCATCTTTATTTAATGAATTGTCAGGTATGAGTTGGCGTTTTGAATAAACACTGAATGTTTGACCTGAAAAGAACACAGCCACAGACGCATTGTTTTGTTGAGAATGACAAGTTCATACCAATCGTTACTTACACAGCTCTGTACGATGCAGGTCCTTCAGGACCTTAACTCTGAGTTCCTTAACCCACAGACAGACGGAAAAGTCTGTCTGTGGGTTTTTCCAAACCTTCATTTGTTTAGCAGTGCAAAAGCTCGATTGTGACACTAAATAGTGGATTAGAATCTAAAGTGAAGAAAATGACAGTCTAGGATCTTGTCTTTAATTCAGACAGAAGACATGTTTTATTGTTGAAGGTAGAGGCAGCATAAACAAAGACGTTACAGAATGTAAGTGACATACAGCGGAGGAAGGGAGACTTATTAGCATTAATTGGCATTATTAGCATTAGCCGCAGTGCCAGTAGCTTCAACTTTGATATTACCAAAACATGTAGTGGAAAAATTCTGCCCTGTGCATATTGTTAGAATGATGAGTTAGAACGTTAACCACAGTAGCTTCAAAGTGTCATGAAATATCCAAAAAAGCAAAAAAAAAAAATACTCGGAAGAGTCGTATTTTCTCCACATATCAGCAGCAACTCTTGCTGGCCTGACCACCACTTTGTCAACCGGAAGTTTATACGTCACGTGACTGCAAGCCATGAAGAATAGGTAACACAGCACTGTCGCCGGGCCTGCGTGCTCATATCAGTGCACGGTACGATATACTACATCCTCCCTTTTCTGCAAAACAAACCATGAGGTCTTTCTGTAAACTAGACCAATCAAACATGTAGGTTAAGGAACTTCTTTTACCTTTATGTTTGTTGACCAACTTCTGCTTGGTCAAGTTTAACACCTTCTGCTGGAATGACACGTCCCATATATTTAACACTGCTCACCTTGTATTGGAGTTTTTCTTTGTTAAATTTGACATTAGCCTCTTTTGCTCTGGTTATCACATTGTGCAGTATCTCGTCATGGTCCTTTTCTGTGGAAGCAGTAACACTTTTATACTTCTTTTTATTATTATTTTCAAGATAGAGATGTTGTACTTCTTATTGATGCTAGAGTTAGAGATGTTGTTTTATTTTAATTATTATTGTTAGTATTATTATAGTTATAGTTCAATTAATAGTGCTCTCCTCTTTCCTACTGTTCTATAACTTGTGATGCAACACTGAAATTTCCCCACTGTTGGACGATCTCTTAATCAGCTCTAATATGAACAACAGCAATGTCCCCAAATGTTTCAAAGTGGCGCAGCTCGAACACTTCAGTGGCTGTTTGAAACAACAGTGCCCCCACTGTGTGTTGAAGGTGCACAGAAGTTACTGTATGTCTCTTTATCCAGCTTGATCTACCAGTCGCCGTCCTTTTCATTAAGCGCTGTGAAGATGATCTTTTCTGAAAATTTGAACAACACTTCATCATCTCTCGGAATTGAGTAGTGTTGCCTCAAGATGATTTTGTTCAGATCTGTAGGGTCCAGACAAACCCCTGACTTATTTTTGTCTTTCTTCTCGGTTATGACAAAGCTGTCCACCCATGTTGTAGGCTCTTTCACGTTTAATAACGTCTGTTTCCAGCAGGTCATCGAGAGTGTCTTTTAATCTGTCCATAACTGCTGGTATTTTCCTACAGCCATGAGTCACAGTAGGATCAATGTAAATCTGATATTCACCTGAGAATTCACCCAGCCCTTCACAAAAACACTTGCATGTTGCTTGAGAATTTCCTCTTTCGTCGTTGGTTATTTAACTCTGACTGTGTCAATGTCCATTCTCTTGATTAGATTTAATCTTTCACACGCTTCCGCACCTAGGATGGCTGTGAGTGATTTGAGACATAGAAGAGCATTCCAGTGTTACAGTCCCGTCTGGTTTCAGCTTGACTCCACCGTAAGCCACTGACACAGTCTTTGTGGGCATGAGAAGTAAACTTGGTCTTTTATCACATCTGACTTTCCTCCAAAGTGTTTTGTACACGGCCTGAGGCAAAACATTGGTCTGAGCTCCTGTGTCTAGCTTAAACTTAACCAGCATAGGACCAGTATGTATGTCTGAATACCAGGAATCGTTTTGCTTATGCTGTCGATGTTCATTGTTCCTATGAAAAGTGTGTCTATTTCAGGACATGCAGTTGTTCTGTTTGTTGCATGTGTGGAGTCACACATCTTTGCATAGTGATTGAGCTTACCACATTTCCGACATGATACCCCAAATGCCGGGCACTCGGTGGTTGTTGCTTGCGTCCCTTTTGCCACTGTGCTTTGTCTTATGCATTGCATGTACTACTTTCTCTTGTGTTGTTTTAGATATTGCTTGATTTTGCGTTCTAGCTGTTTCTGCAGCTCTGCAAATGTCAATAACTGTCCAGAGTGAGGTCTGATTCCGTCAAAAGTCTTTCTTTGAGGCGTTGATCATTCAGGCTAAACACAATCGTGGTCATGATCATGTCATTCTCTGAAGCAGCGAATTCACAGTCTATACTTTTCCGCCTCAATTCAGTGACACATTTTTACATCGTCATAGAATCTGCCATAGGATGAGCCCAAAACTCGTGCCAAACAGTAAAACACTGTATTTTTCTTTGGTTGACAGTATGATCGTAGTGCTCTAATAATGTCAACCACTTTATAATCAAGTGTGTTTTACACTTCGAGCACGTCTTCTCCGAGAGCATGGAGCATATACCTGACGCGCCACTGGCCGTCAAGTATGTTTGAAAGCATTGTTCCCATCTTTGCCAGTTTTATCTTATATTGCCTGTTAGCACCAGCGGTGATGGCAGTTTAAACTGATCCATATTTTCCCCGCTTCAGAGTGTCCACCCATGCTGCCTTCTCACTCCCTTTAGCTCGCTAACGGTTCTTCACAACGTTAGCTGAACTCCGGTGTCTTCAGAAACACTTCTGACCCCATGTAATATTTGTTGTTC